CTCTGAAAGTGATCTCTTCCAGACAACCTTTGTGTATAGAATTGATGTAAATAATAGTTGGAATAGAAGGGGAAAAATGAAGATATATATAAATAAAGATAAGTGAAATTTATATATAATACGATACAATAGATTAAATGAAAAGAATACGAATAAGTAAAAGTAATTTATCTAATAGCGTTCTAAGTAATACGATTTAACAAGACTTTTGAAAGAATGAAGAGATTTAGCACGACGAATGTGGAGAGGTAAAAGGTTTCATAAACGCACAGCAGTGACAGTAAAAGGAGGACAAATGCAAAGGAGTAGAGAGAGACAGATTGACAGAGATTTTGTACGTGGTAGAGCCATGCTGCAGTTATATTATGGTTGTAGCACGAATGGGTCAGCTCGACCGGGGAAGGACCACGCTCTCACAGAATACCAGCATAAAATAGCAGCTTAACGCTGCTGTGTTTCGTATGGTGAGTGTAGAGAACCGGAGACCCTTTTTACTGGAAATGAGGCATTCCATCTTAGTCCTCACGGGTGACAACGCATCTGCATTTTTATTCTTAATCGAAGATAGATGTAGATGTCTATAGGCCACAGCAACCACTTACCATCAGGTGGACTGTGTGCTAGTTTGTCACCCTTATCCTATAAAAAAAAACAGAGGATCGAAGGAACCGATTATGGGAAAGGGATAGATACTGGAAACGGTCTTTTAAATATTTTTATTAGGGAGTGATGGGATTAAACAGCACACCATACAATGCGGAGAGAATGTGATTATTCCTGCGAAAGCGGATCAGGAGCCATTTGATCTATTTTCGAAATTCAGAGATGTGATCATATTTGCGAAGCCCAAATATGAATCTAATACATAAGTTTCGAATGCACTCTAGCTTATTAAGCTGCTCCTCGGTAATTTCAAGATAGCAAATATCAGCATAGTCAAGGATAGGCAGAAGTAGAAAAGAGGCGAGAAACTTTAGTTACTGTGTCATCCCAGTATAAGACAATTCATGAAGGAAGTGAAGAATTCCCCGTTTAATAGTCTGTAATGATGACGAAAATTATGACGATATTCGGTGACTTAATGTTTGATATATTAGGTGTAACTTTAGGTAATTTTAATTTACTTTTCTTACAAAAACATAAATTAATCTTTATAAATCCAACAATTAATCATCCTATAAAAATCTTCCGCGAATTATGAATTTCCTGCCGATAACGAGCCCCGGCCCGCCCCACTTTTAAGACCATCTTGTTGCGACCGAATTTATGATTTGTTGCTTAGGAAAGTTTTTATTGCTATGCTTTTATTTAAGAGAATTATTATTTATTATTTATTATTTAACAGTTTATGTACACACATAATTTGATAAGAAAATGGTAAAAACATAATTATGTACAAAGGCACTGCTTATTCCATGATGAAATTTCTTCCAGCAGGCCTATTGAAGGATAGTTGAAGGAAATAGAGGTAGTCAAAATTATGTTAATATTTCTGTCTTAATACGCCAATGCTAAAGAATAACGGGAGAGGCTTATGTTCAACAGTGGACATATAATAGTATGTAATGGATAGTATAAAGAATATAAGCTAAAGATAAAATATTAAGTACGGAGTTTGTCAAAGGTGCGTGGCGTCTGGCACTATGATTTTCAATGCGTCTGCCAAGCGTGAAGATAAAGGCACATCTATTTTTAGGAGCTGTATCGTTGGACTACTGGTTTTATACGTGAATGCTGATCGTGAAATCCTTGGCTTAAATTCCGGGTTAGGTAAAAAAAGCAGTGATTGAGTATTTCTATCGAGCAGTTCCTAATAGGAGACAGGAAGTTGACGGTGTTTAACTCCCATGCCTCGGAAAGCACGTAAAAGTTTTGGTCCTGTGCCTCATCTCTCTCCAGGTGTGTTGTATCGCTATCGGAATATGAGAGTATGAGGTGGCGCTGTCGTCGCGCCACAAGTGAAACACATCTAAGCCTAAATCGCACTTCAAAACCTTCGTTATCGTCCTCAAGTACCCCATTCATTCGCTCCCGGGCAGATATTGTCTGCAGCCTTCACATTCTGCAAGCCATCTAGCTTTACAAAGGTTTATCGCAGCACTAAAATAATAATGCTCCCTATTCTTTCAAGCTACTCTCTGCGCTACAATGTTCGGCACGGCTCTGAGCCTTACTGCTCGCCTCTGCTTCACGGCATTCTCGCAGATTACTTGCCTTGCCTGGCATGTATTACACACCGGCATATCGTTCGCTCCGGCATCACTTGCCCTTATGCACACAGCAGGCATTGCCCACCGACTTTAAAGATGCACCGGCAATCGGACTGCACTATCGACCTCCAGTCTGAGCATGTGATGTGGCGGCGCTGTCGTCGCGCCACAAGCGAAACACATTGAAGCCTAAATCGCACTAACAAAGTTCCGAAGTTATGGCAGCATATATATAGAATAACTGCGAACTACCAATCGGAGCGTTGGCCGCTCCCCGGGCAGAACAGCTTGCCTGGCGGGAGATCTCCTCTTTTCCTTCCACCGGCCCCAAGTGTGTACCTGTAATTGCGCATAAGCTCAGGCACGATAATCTTGTCCTGCACAGTTGGTTAATCTCCGTTAAGAGTGTCTGACCAAAATTCGGTCTTGAGGATATTTTATCCGTTTTATATCCGTCCTATCTTAATCAAATCTACTCGTATAACGTTTTTTTTATCTATTAACGTGACAGTTGCTTAATCCATACTTCATACATTATATCCATACCAACTAACACAATTAAAGTTTTTGAAACTTTTCAAGGAAGAGAAATTCTTTTCAATCCCGGTTAAGAGGATTTTCAATTTTCATAATATTTTGGCGTTCATAGTTAAGACTCAATGAAGTGAATATTACTTTATTGAATTCCTCTGGGCATTGATATTAGACCCAATTTTTGGCGATTAACATAGTCTTTTTATTTTATTTTTATTTGTTCTTCATTTACTGAATTCAATAAAATAGTGGTAGATAAAAAGTTATTTTAAAGGATCCGCAAAATACCATCCTTACACTCCCGTAATCCGAAAATCTTTTATCACAAATTAACAAATTCCAAAAATACTGACACTGGGAACTGAATTCAGAATACTTGCTATTTAATTGCTGTAATGAGGGCATCCACGACTTTTTTGCCACCAGGGCGGCGCCACTAGAAAATGAGGTATAATATTTGACAGATTTCATAGTGGAGAAGTTGATTTGTTCAAAAAATGTAAAAATTATTATTTCTTTTTGTGCTATTAGCTATATTTTATATTAATAACATAAAAAATAAATAAACCAAACCACATTCATAAAACTAGAAAAATAAAAAAAAGTTAAAATGTGCAAAAAGTTAAAGAGAAAATTTGTTTTTAATTAAAACTAATTTTACGGATTTTATCGCGTATATTAGCTTATTTTTATATTCCCGACGTTTCGGGTGCTTTCCAGCACCCGTGGTCACGGGAGACTGAGTTGTTTGACGTCCTGCTGTCATAGTTAGCCCGGCTAACTTCAGTTTTTTTTTTTATATTAATTTTTGGTTCGATTTACGCAGAATGAGCTTACAGTATCTTGAAGTCTAGCAGTGGTATACTTGAGTTTGGATATGATTTTATTAATTATGGGATCCCAAGCAGCACCCATCCATCTTCTCTATTGAAATTAGGATGTTTTTTAATTTCAATAGCCTCGCGAATCATCCTTGGGAGGAATCGGTGTTCTTTTGCGAGGATTTGTGATCTATCAAATCTAATGTAATGACGGGGACGATCCTGAACATGTTCACAAACTGCAGACTTCCCGATACGTCGGTGCTTCACGTCAGCTATATGTTCTTTAACGCGGGTTTTAATAGATCTTTTTGTTTGTCCTATGTACGAGAGACCACATTCACAATCCAGCTTGTACACTCCTGCATCTTGTAGAGGGATATGACACTTGATGGATGGTAAAAATTGACCAATCTTCTTCAGCGACTTGAAGTACGTTTTAATGGAAGCTCGCTTCAAGATGTAGCCAACCTTGTCTGTGACTCCTCTGATATAGGGTAGTACAGCAGGCACAAGCTCGACTGTGGCTGGCTTCACTCGGTCACTGTGACGTAGGTGCGGGACCCGAAGCTTGTTGTCTTGCAGTACTTGCTCGACGTGCTGAAGCTCGGCGGCCAGATGTTTTCTGTCACAGATCTCTCGTGCTCTCTGAAACAAAGATTTTCCCACGGTAGCTAACTGTGAAGGATGATGGTGAGATTCACCATTTAAATATCGGTTGGTATGGGTATTTTTTCTGTACACAGTATGACCAATAGTGTTATCAGGATTTTGGATGACTAAAACATCTAGAAAAGCTAGAGTATTGTTTGCCTCTAACTCCATTGTGAATTGTATTTTAGGGTTTATGGAATTAAGGTGGTTTAAAAATGCAGTTACTTTGTCAGATGGTAAGATTGTGAAAGTATCGTCTACGTACCACTTGTAGAATCTTGGATTTACAGGAGCAGTAAGAAGGGCTTTCTCCTCAAAGTCCTCCATGAATATAATAATAATAATAATAATTTATTTTATTTTCTCACCACAATACAGAATTATTGTACATAATATTATAGTATAGCCTCAATAATATACTGTGGGAGACTGGTGCCTAAGCTAGGCTTTACGCCTGTATTTCAGGACGCCAGGTCTCCGCCCTATGGTTCTAATTACAATACTTTTATTATGCACTCGTACATGTACCATATTTATAATTTACATAATATCTCCTTTCATTTACTTAGGATTCTACATATATTAACTAGTATTAGTGTGTGTGTGTGTGTGTGTGTGTGTGTGTGGGTGTGTGTGTGTGTGTGTGTGTGTGTGTGTGTGTGTGTGTGTGTGTGTGTGTGTGTGTGTGTGTGTGTGTGTGTGTGTGTGTGTGTGTGTGTGTGCATGCTTTTGTTTGTTAGTTTGTGACTGGGTTAGTAATTAACTTTTATTAAATTAGTAATTAGATAGAATTAGTAAGTAGTTGTTCAGTGTCATAATAATTTAGTTCTTGGAACCAGATAGTTATTTTCTTTTTGCATATAGTTTTGTTAAGGTTAAATATAGGGATAATTTTATTGATTTTATTGTATAAGAAACCTCCATGGTGACAAAAGAAACGTTTAGATAATTTGGTGGATAGAGTTATATGATAGCGGTCCACGGGGTTAAAACGCCTTTTATCTCGGGAGAGTGAGGGGTTGTATTTTAATAAAGCATGTTGTTTTAGTAAGGTACTTCGTATAAACAGTTGCCGCACAGTTAAAATTTTCAACTCTTTATATAGGAGCTCTGTAGGATAGCGATACGGCAGTGAAAAAGAGACCTTTAAGATGGCTCTCTGCGTTCTCACCAATTGAAGCATTTTAGTTTTTGGAGCACCGCCCCAGGAGGTAATACCATATGTTAACAGAGATTGGGCCAAGGCGAAGTAGACGGATTTCTTTAGTTTCTCGTCAGCCACATCTCTCATAGTTTTAAAAACATATATAAGTTTACGCAACCTGCTATTAAGGGTATTAATGTGTTCATGAAAACGTAGAGTGCTATCAATTATTACTCCTAGATATTTTACTTTTTCAGCTTGACATAGTTTGATGCAGGTATCGGCGTTATTAAGTGAGTTGGAACATGAGTGACTTACGATAGAGTATGGTGGTCATAATGTTGTTAATGTGTTATTTTTTAATCTAAATGCAACATAACATGTTTTATCTATGTTGAGTGTCAGCACATTACTTCGGAGCCAGTTAGAGACTGTGTTGTAGCCCAGCTGGGCGTACGTATAGACATCTTGCCATGAACCTGCGTTAAATAGGAGGACGGTATCATCTGCATAACTTATTATCCGCCCTTTAGGAAGAGTGAGCATACTCATTTCATTAATATATATTAGAAATAAGGTTGGAGAGAGTACACTGCCCTGAGGCGTACCATAGGTAATTGTGCGTTCAGTACTGATGAATTTATCCACCTGAACGCACTGAGTACGTCCACTCAAGTAGTCTTCAAAAAGTTGCAGTTGTATACCTCTAATTCCCAAGCTCTCCATCTTACGTAAAAGTATGGGTACAGAAACCGTGTCGAAAGCTTTGGCGAGATCTAGAAATATGCCAAGAACCTTCTGCCCATTGTCCAAGTTTGTAACAATATAATTAGTAAGGTCATGAATGGCATCCGAGCTAGATTTACCTGACCTAAAACCATATTGTGAGGGCGAAAGAAAGTTATGTTTTTCCAAGTAGTTTACGAGCCTGTTGTTTATTATGCGTTCGAGTATTTTGGACAAGGCAGGCAGCACAGCTATAGGTCTATAATTATTGACATGGTCTCTGTCCCCACCCTTATAAATCGGGTGTATGATCGATTTTTTAAAAGCTTTAGGAAATTTTCCGGTTGTGAGAGCCAGATTGCAGATATATGTCAGGGGTGGGACAACTACATTAATATGCCTTTTAAGGAGATTAGAGGGTATTCCATCCCAACCCACAGCACATTCATTACGGAGAGATAATATTAATCTTGCAACCTCGTCCTCATCCGTTGGTAACAATACCATGGAGTGCGAGTTGTTGTTATTGTTGTTGTTAAAAGCTTTTTTTATTGACTCTGTAAGTCCATCCGATATCTTTTCCGCGAGATTTTTACCTATATTAGCGAAAAATTCATTAACTGAATTAACAGATAGCTCCGGAGTGGATGATGTGGTTAATAAGTGATAGGATGAATTTTCTTTCTTTTTTGCCCTATTTGTTATGTTATTTATTGCTCCCCAGAGTTTTTTAGGATTATAACTAGTCTTTTTTAATTCATTCTTTTCATATTCCAATTTAATTTTTTTTAACAACTTATTACAATAATTTCTGTACCTAGTAAAAGATGTTTTTAATACTTCATTGTCTGGCGACTTTTTTAATTTTTTGTGCATATTGTTTCTGTGTCGGATACAGCGTAAGAGACCTGGAGTGATCCATGGCTTAATGATTTTTTTACGGTTTGGTACTTTCACGGTTTTTGTGTTTTTTTGGACCGCTTGTTTGATAAGACTTATCATTAAATCTGCTGCTACGTGAGGATCTTCGGTATTATATACTTCACTAAAGTCGATTAATTTTATGTCGTCAGTCAACTGATCACAGTTAATGCGCGTCGTTGTTTTTTTTTAATCGTGATTTTGGGCATTTTGCTTGCGAGAAATAATAACACGGTTTCATGATCAGTTAGTGCTGAGTGGGCTACTAATGTTGAAGCAGGCAATAGAGTTTTAAGGACAAAATGATCAAGACATGCATTTTGTCTAGTAGGCAAAAATGTGCAGGCAGCAGGCCGTGTGATGCTAATAAATTTAAATAATTAAGTTTGTTTGTGTCATGGCATTGTTCCTGGATGTTAATTTTTATGTCCCCGGTTATTATTATATTGTTATAATGTGTGATATTAGTCAGGATTATGTCAAGCGAATGCAGGAAGTTAGTGATATCTCTATAACTTGGTGGTCGATATATTGCTAACAAAATGGTATTATAGTTTATTTTTATTTGGAGACAATTTGCATCTAAAATTGACGGTTCCAATACTAAAACCTGTAGGTTTTCATGTATGTATACAACTACTCCCTCATTTTGTGTTAGATTGTTAGTAGTCATAAAGTATTTATAACCTGTTAAGTCAGGAATATTATGTGTATTGGGAAGCCAACATTCGGTTAATGTGATGATGTCCCAATCGACCTTAGTCCTAGCGAGTATGGTATAGAAACCTATCATATTTTTTGAAATACTTCTAATATTTTAATTAAGTATTTTGAGTGATTGCTTGGGGTTGAAATTAAATGGGATACAGTTGTCTAAATCACAGGTAGATGAATCAGACACTGAGACAGAATCTATGTTGTTTGTGTTATTTAGTATATTATCGAATTTTATTGTGTTTGTTTTTCATAGTTACATTTTTGTAAGTGACATTTAATAGGACTAAGTTTTTTTTTTTTATCTATCTTTATTTAAAAAGGCTTTTATTCTACAAGGATATGTCAGCCTTATCGTAACCTAGCTTGTTCCCTAGGACTAAGTTGATAATGACAATTAATTGGTCGCCAAAAGTGGTACAGAGAGGAAGCTGATAGTATATAGTATACATTCCCGTATTGCACACTGCATGTGTATTCTTAGTTAATAATATTAGTTGTATATAATGTATATATGTATTTGTTAGTGTAGTATTTGTGTGTTTTGTAGGATATAGTATGTATATTAAATAATGTTGGTTATTAATACAGTTTTTTAAATTAATGCTATAAACATGCAACAAGAATAATATAATACTTTTGAACAATATGGAAGATAAAATAACGCAATCTAGTCACTTTTGTCTTCGTAGTTGAATTAGATCATCTTCTGATTTGATAAGTCGACTGGGCATCCCTTCTTTTTTGCGTATGTACACCTTACCATTGGCTGTCCAACATTGTTCGTATTCACTAGTCTTAATAAACTCTCGTGCAAGGTAGTAAAGTATCTTTGTCATGGCGGTGAGGACCTCAGATACGTATAGGAAATGCTTAGGTCCTTTTTCGTGCAAGTGGGTTGTGTTAAGACGATTTTCCTTGTTCTGTTTATTATAGTTTTTAGTTGACTTCAAAAACTGTTCCTTTGCCGCCGTGGACGAGAATTCCACAATAACTGTACCCACTGATTCAGTCTTACTCTTTAAACGAAAAATATTTGTAATATCCGTTTCCAGTACGGAATGATTAATAATACTGCCTAGTTTTTGGACTGTGCTAATTAGGGTTTCACGGGTTTCAGGACATTGTAATGGTATATTTTTTATTTCAAGTGACGATGCTCTCAAATTTTTTTCCAAGATGTCTACCTTATTTTCCAATGTTTTTATGATCTGCTGATTTTTGTTACACTCTGCTTTTAAATTATTAATCTCAAGCACCGCCTCATCATATTTTTCCGACAAAAATGACACGGTCTTCTGGGTTTCTTCGTTTTGGGCACGGATTTCTGAGTTTAGAATACTAATTTTTGCATTTTGAGTTCGAATATCTTCAAGTGCCGTTTGCAGGGTATCCATTTTATTATTTTGTTGAGTTTGGTTCGATACGAACTCCTCAAACATGGTTTTCATCTCTATCATCATTTTTTCCATACGTCTTAATTCATCCGACTCGCGTTTTCTTTTCCTCTGCGTTATGTTTAAGTTTTCATTATTAGAGGAGGATGTTAAATTCGGTTCAGAGGTATAGCAGGGTGATGCCGGAGCATTAGGAGGTGAGCATCGTCGATTTAGTTTGAGGGTTTTTATTTTATTATTTATAAATATGTATTCCGTTTTAATAACTAAGGTATGAGAAGTAGTAGTATGATGTTTTATTTACTCACAAGGCGACTCGTATCAGCATACAACAATTTAGTCTTGATGCGTAGGAGAAGATCTTGGTTAACGTAGTTTTATTGCCGAGATGACGGTTATAAAGTTGTATGTACAAATTATTTATTTATCATAACTCCGACAACACAAATAAATGATATTTTTCTGAAAAATTAGCGAAAAACGTGTGACATTGACGTTGACATATCCGCACAATAAATATCGGCGACTACGGGAGATACAGGTGAGCCCATTGCCACTCCGTCTACTGGCATGTAGAACTCTTCTTTTCACAATAAATAGCCAGATGTGAGGCAGTGTTTGAGTAATACTGCATATTCTGTAGGCATGTTGTTATCTTCTAGCTTTCTAGTAACAATTGAGATGCAGTCTTCAATAGGTAGGCATGTGAATAGTGACTGAACATCAAAACTGACCATAGTTTCATTGTCAACGAGATGTAGGTCTTTAATCTCACTAACAAATTGGTATGAATCCTTTGTGTGTGCTCTGGTATGTCCTCTTAGTGGTGACAGTATTTTTGCCAAGTGTTGAGCCAACTTATAAGTTGGTGAATCGATCTGGCTTACTATAGGACGTAGTGAAGCGTTTGGTTTGTGTATTTTCGGTAACCCATACAACCTTGGTGGTTTGGCACATGATGGTATTGTCGAATTCACGTCAAGATCTAATTTTTCGGAGTATTTCTTTATTAAATCAGTAGTTGTTTTGAGTGTATTAGTTGTAGGGTCTATTTTGACCTTTTTGTATGTACTTACGTCCGATAAAAGTTGTTGTATTTTGAAATTATACTCTGACGTGTCCATTATTACCGTAGCATTTCCTTTATCCGCACGGAGAATCGTGAGCTCTGGTCTGTTGCGTAAGTTGTACAACGCTTTAAATTCGTCTTTGGGAATATTTAGTTTCCGCGCTGAACTTCGACGTAACAAGGACGAAATGTCTTGACGTATAGCCTCTAAATCCTCTTTACCGATATTATTCTTAAACAGATAATCCTCAACACTACAGATAATTTCCTCATACGGGATTTTTTGCGGCGTTATAGCAAAATTTAAGCCTTTCGACAGTACTTTTATTGTAGGTTCGTCCAGTGTTTCTTTTGACAAATTATAGACCGTGCGTTGTTTATTGTTTGCGTCTGTGGTCAACGGTTGTTGCGTTTCGATTCTACGTTGACATGGATGTTTGGCATTTGATTTGATAGTTAATTTTTGGTATTTTTCTATTTGTTTGTCTTTGCATTCATTATATTTCGATATTTCGCGTTTGTTTAAAGTTTCAATGCAATTATTAAAATCAAATGTCGTTAAAACTGTCTTTAACTCACTGAACAAATTGTCTATGGTATTATTTATGATTTGTTAATCGAACCGTTTTTGCTGAAGCACCGTTCGTAACAACTTTTTACTTGCCTGATTTAAGATCTTAGCGCTTCCTCGAATGTCCTTTTTAGTAGATATTTTGACGCACGTAGGAATGAGCTGGTGGTCGCGGCACCTTTTCAGAAAATTCAATGATGTTACATATCTTGCGCGCTTGGTCATGAGATCTTCTAATCGGCGAATTTTATTTGCAATTACCAGTCCGTACTGGTTTACATAATGATTTCTTATATTTACGCGAACACTACACATTTTTAATTAAAACTAATTTTACGGATTTTATCGCGTATATTAACTTATTTTTATATTCCCGACGTTTCGGGTGCTTTCCAGCACCCGTGGTCACGGGGGACTGAGTTGTTTGACGTCCGAAAATTTGTGTATTAATATAATAGTCTAGAAACTGATAAACTTTTATTAAAAAACAACTTCTTAATTAAATTACATTGTGTAACAAAAAACTTTACCTCAGTGTCAACTAGCGACATCTGGTGAGCAGAAAATTATTAGCCCTTATTGCTATAACTATTACATTTAATGGAAACTAGGTGGTAGGACTCCTAGTAGGTCACAGGGTTCCTTTTCAGCATAGGTGTGGATCTAGGTAGTACCACCCTCTAATCTATTTCTGCCGTCAAATAGAAGTACTTGCACGGCTGTGGTCCTGTCTGAAGGGTGAAGAGAGCCAGTATAACTACAGGTACTGAAGCATGCAATCTTTAGTGCTTATAGGTGACAACGCATCTGTCACCTTCTTTGTTTGAAGTTCATTGCAGGTGTTCATGGACTACAGTAGGCACTTACGATCAGGTGGACAGTGACTTCATTTGTCACTTCACTTTTATAGAACAGAATAATTTTTATTCAAAACAGATTAAAAGAATATTTATTGAAAGCCATTTATGCTTTTAACACTGGCAACAAATATATATATTGAATAAAAGATATTTAAATAATATATATTTAAACTTGGTAGAGCCATGCTGCAGCTGTATTAGTAGTATAGTTGTAGCACGAATGGGTCGGCTCGACCGGGGAAGGACCACGCTCTCACAGAATACCAGCGTCAAATAGCAGCTTAACAGTGCTGTGTTTCGTATGGTGAGTGTAGAGAACCGGAGACCCTTTTTACTGGAAAAGAGGCATTCCATCTTAGTCCTCACGGGTAACAACGCATCTGCATTTTGATTCGCAAACGAAGATAAATGTAGATGTCTATGGGCCACAGCAACCACTTACCATCAGGTGGACTGTGTGCTCGTTTGTCACCCTATCCTATAAAAAAAAAAATATTATTACTACACTGGTTCGAAAAGTACCTATGTCCCGAGAAGAACCAGTA